CTACCGGGCGGTCTGATTCCAACTAATCAACCTGTCAACCGAGCAGTCGGGACAACCCGCAACGAATCGAGGAGTCGAGTAACCGGTCAGTCTGATCAACAGTCAACCTACCGAGGAGTTGAACCAACAAGCAATCAACTGAGGAGTTTGGCGACCACCAACCAAGCAAGCAACCAATCAATCAACCTATCGACCGAGAAGTCAGACCAACCAATCAACCAACAACCAACCAGTCAATCATCCAACAAACAAATCAACTCAAACTAAACCAGGTAATCCAGTTCCATGTTCAATCCAAGTTTCACAACATGTGATGGAGATTGTTATCTGATGGATAAATTCGTTATCAAACATTTACTTTACCAGTTAAAGAAAAAAAAATCATTTCCTTTCATCAAAAAAAATGAATTCATCTTTTCAACAAACTTTACATTAATTAACTTTCTTGGCTCTCAGCAAATGAATCACAAAAAAAGACTAACGTTTCGACGTAGTATTCCGAATATATACAAACATCCTTTTGTTTTTCGATATCAAATAGCTATGAGAAGTGCAATAGATAAAATTATTGCAGTAGTAATTATAATAATAATCATGATAGTAGTGATAATACTAATACTAATATTATTAATAAAACAATTAAGGATTAGGAAATTAAATTGTAGAATGAAACGTTGATTGTTTACGACAACATATTCATTGTATCAAAGCTCAACGATGAAGAGGACAGAAGTAAAAGATTGATTTTCATTTGAGATTAAAGAAGTGTCAGATTTCATTTCAACTAAAAATCTCGGCCAACGACCCGATCACTACGACCGACTGTTTGCCAATTGCAAATATGTTTAATGGTGTAACGGCAAACATCAAAGATAACGGTAGAAGAGAAAAGTGACTGCGCTAATGATGATAAGAAAGCAAATAAGATAAGGAAAGTAGAAATTTTGAAAATTTTCAAACCAATACTGTATGGTAAATCTATCAGTGTGATTATTTGCTATTAAGATAAGCGATTAGAGAGATGATAAAGATAACGATATAGCAATAACAATCGCTCAATCTTCATCACAATCATAACTTGAGGTCAAAGCTTTAAGATTTCGGAAAAGTTTAACAATTAGTGAAGGAGAAAAATGATAACATCATTTAACAAAGAGATGTAAATTTATCAATAGCATTATTTTGTAGAAGCATCAGTTTGTAATATCAAAAGTATATGTGTGGTTCATTCAATGCTTTGGTAAACATAATTATGAGTTTAAAAAAAAGAAACTACAATGATAACCAACCTGTAATAGAGATGGTATTGATAATGACGATAATAGAATGAGTATTGGGGAATAATTCGATGATGAAATAGTGGTTAAGAGTGGAAATGAAGGATAACCTAGAAGGTCCTGCCTGTAGAGACGAGCTTATTTTGATTTAAACAGGTTAGATAAACCCGGATCTACAGGGTGAACCATCCAAGAAAACAGTGAACTTCTTCCATAACGTAAATTATTTCGTTTTAATCCGATCAATTGAATATATCATTTAGCCATCATTTTCATCCAATAATTTTAGGACACGAAAGGAAAAATCTGAAAATCATTTATAAAAAATCATTACATTAAATCAAATACAGTAAGTAACCGCGTAAATATTTATCTAAAAATATTTTTTGTTATAAAATTTCTTGAATAATAAGATGAATCAAATACTGATATAAATTTTGTCGTTCTATCAAAAATAAATTTTCTCTCTTTCTCTCTCACTCCCTCTCTCTCGGGAAATTTTAAGTAACATAAAGATCAGAGAAATAGTTCCACATACAGTACTCATATCATATCATATCTCAATATTATCACCGCAAGTATAATTGATTTTCTTCTATTTTTGTTCAATAATACATATGAAATTAAATATTCCAGAATTATTACAAATTTACGATAAGTATAGAGAAATTATTCACTAAGATAAATTAATTTTCAACTAATAATCAACAATAACAACAATCGCTAACAATTAGAATAAGAAAAATTGATTAGTTATACTGATTATCATCAATACCAATAAAAGTTGCCGTTATTGTCTGTCTAATTATAATTTGAAGTGATAATGAGCTAATAAGATTGGTGAGTATCAATAAAGAAGAAACAATAACAGGTATGCATATATGATAACTGAGAGCGATACATTTCATACACCAATACGGCAGGGAATCGTTCGACAATGCCAACCGATGTTGATAGCGATGCTGTTGGTGTACATGTGTGTATCCGTATCGGTATGTATTGATGTGTGTGTGTATGCGTGTGTGTGTGTGTGTGTGTGTGTGGGTGTGTGTCTGTCCAGCATCAATTTGTATGAAAAATGAATAAACATAAATACAAATATATGTTTAAGGGAGGGTGGTAGGAAGGGGAATGGAAGGGTGTCTGCATGGCGCTGCTCCAAAAACTCTTATGCAAACAGAGAGCGACGTATTTGTGCGGTGTTGGTTCGGAATATTTATGGGAGATTGAATGTGAATCGCCTGGAAATCACCGCCCGGAATGAATGCATGCATAATTGTGCGGTTGTGTTGCATTATTAATATTTGACGTTATCAAATAAACGACGACAATATTGAAAATAAAATACGCCAATTTTTTTTCTTTGATTTTAAAGTTTATGATCGATTACCTTTGATAAAAAAGTGTTACTGTCAAAGTTTCTTTCTTTGTGAAATGAATTAATGAAGATTATTGGTATGAGTTAATTGTACTTTTGATTCTCTTTAATCTCACTTATTTAATGTTTTGTTTACAATGAATAAGTTAATCAGTTATTAATGAAATAGTCAATGGATAACAAATTTGAAGTTATTTACCTGAGTGATTGATAATTGTTTAAAAAAAAAACTCAATTCATTTATTGTTTAATTGATAGGATTATTTGTTGGATTGTTTCAGTTCTGATTGAAAGTTTTTATTAAATTACTAACTTTGTATTATTCTAAATTTTTATTCAAATATTCTCTCTATGTGATGTTTTGTTTATTATTTCTATCTAAAATTAGCAAATTTATGACAATACACTGGTCATTTTCAATGATATGATCAAAATGTTTCGCCCTAACTAATGCTTTTATTTCATTTATTTGCTAATTGATAGCATAGTCTTTTTCCATCAGTTCTTTGAAATATTATTTTAATATTCTTTTCAATTTTTCTTAATTTCTTTATTTTTGTTTAATTTTGAGGATAAAACTATCGGTTTCAAATTGTTTAGGGCTTGTCCAAAGAATCGGAAATTTGACTTTTCTGTTCAAAAATTATATTCTTCAAATCAACATGATTTAGATAAACAACAAACGAAATAATTTCAAAGAAAATTTTTGTTTCCGAAAATATCTGATAGGCGGATAATATGTCTGTTGTAAAAATATTACATATATGCATTAAATTAAACCGTATAAACCAAATTAAATTAATTTTTTCGTTGTTATTTTTAGTGTTAAAGAAAAATTTTCGTCTGAAACTATTCCAAACTAATACCGCTTACTATATTCATTTAAATATGTAAATTTTGAATGTATGTAAAAGAAGTGAGTCATTTGAAATACGCAAGCAAGCAAGCAAGCAATTCATCAAAAGGGAATGTGACATAATGGAATGGATTAAGAAAGGTTTGAAAAATTCTTAAAAATTGCATGCATGATTGGTTCCTCATTTCATTTCCCATCATTTAACAAATAATCCCTCCCTCTCTAGTCACTAATCACTAATCAGTAATCCATATTACTCTAACTTAGATCACTTAGCAGAGAGAGAACAATTGATGGAAGACAAGCAGCAGCCTCTCATTCCCGTTTCTCCTCCCAACTTCCTTCATCAACTTCTACCACTTTCCTACTGCCTCTCTTGACAGATCATATCTGATTATAATATACGATGGAGAATGGTTATAATGATGAATTTGCTTCATCATCTTGTTACTCTTATCCCTACGTGAGCTGCTCTTCTTCCTCTTCCTACGATACTTATGGTACCTATCCATTCAATGGATTTTATGGTACCTGTGAATCAGGCAAATACTATCAGCAATTACCGGATATCAATAGTCAGTATCATCATAATCAAACTCCAATATATTATCCACATTATCGTGCATCGGTTCCGTCTACCTCCGATTATACTCATCTATTTTTAAATGGTACCATACCGAATAATTGCTCTTCTACAACAACCACTGCTGCAACAATAAATTCTGGTAGCAACGGTTTTGGAAAAGGAAACCGAATTCGTTTTCAAAGACCGAAATATACGTGGATGTTGGGACGTGAAAAGGATAATCAGCAATCACGTTATTTTCATCAAACCGTTAGGTCTGCAACCGATACGGTAATTACATCACAAACAGGTAACGTTCACATGATTTTAATTTGTAAATTTTTCTAACTTATGATAATAGCGACCAATGAATTATAATATAAAAATAAATTATTATTTTATACAGTCCGTTTTATTTCGAACATTATTTACTATGGAAATCCATTAGCTGATAATTGATAACAAATCAATTAGCGTAATGGTGACCAAAAATACTATTAAAAGTAAGCACTTGCAAAAAAAAGAATATATTACATCAAAAATAGCACATTGCAACAAATCATTTCAGTCATTTCCTTTTTCTTCTTTTTAAAAAAAGAATTAAAAATTTAAAAAGCAGTATGATATACTCTTTAAATAATTAATTATACTAATAATTAATCGTTGCACATAAAAACGAGATATTGCTTATTTAGTAGTTTATGACATTCAAAAATTTGTGTAAAATCAATAATCAATTTTATATACATACATACATATATATATATAAAGTTTATTCGAATATAATTAAAAATAATAAAAGACATATAAATGAAATTATCAAAAAAAATGGTACCATAGAAGTCATTTTTTATACCTTTCATTCAATTATGGTAATAAATTAAAATTGATGGTATAACGAGTAAATTCAAAAAATTCACAAATAATATCTTCATTGATAGCAGTTATTATCCTTTTCAATATTAAATTCTATGATTAATTAAAATTTATTAGCCAATGAGCACAAAATTATGATTGAAATCTCGTAAAGTGTTCGTATATTTCTTAGATATTAGAAAATTAATTAATCTTTATTAGCTTTATTATTGGTTAGAAATGAAATATCAAAATCATATCTGTTTCTGATCATTGACACCGTGTATGCTGTGTGTGTGTGTGTGTGTGTGTGTGTGTGTGTGTGT